GCGTTCATTTCAACAGAAATGGTATGCCACTTATGATTGGCTAGAGTATTCTCAAACGATAGATGCAGCATTCTGTTATGCTTGTCGACATTTTCCTATGGCTGGAAATTTGCCAGATAATACTTTCACACGCAGTGGTTTCTCTAATTGGAAAAAAGCAACATATTCTGATGGAGGATTCATTTCGCATATACGTTCAAATGCGCATATGGCAGCATATCAGACTTGGATTGAATACAAAAATAAAAAACCACAACAAGCTATTCTGGATATGTTATCAGACAAAAGAGAGAAACAAATAAAAGCTAATCGCCATTATATTGCAGCTGTTATTGATGTACTCAAGTACACTGCTGTGCACAAAATAGCCCAAAGAGGACATGACGAAAGCAGTAGCAGTATGAACAGAGGAAATTTTCTCGATTTAATAAATTTGGTTGGCAAGTATGACTCTGAAATAGGTAAAAAAATAACTTCATTGCCGGGAAATGCAAAATACACAAGCAAGACGATCCAGAATGAAATACTTCATTGCATGGCAGCAATGGTTCAGCAACAAATCATCAATGAAGTCAAAGAGAGTGTTCAATTTGCAATAATGGTAGATGAAACGAAAGACTGTCGAAAAACAGAACAGGTTAGCCTAGTAATACGATATTTTGTACGTGACGCCGTATGCGAAGCATTTATTGGATTTGTGCCTGCTCATGATCTAACTGCTGATGGTTTGAGTAATCTTATAATTGATGAACTGAAAAAATTTAGCCTCGATTATCAATCAAACCTGATTGGTCAAGGATATGACGGAGCGTCTGTCATGAGCGGCAAACACAAAGGAGTTGCTACTCTAATTACTCATCAAGCAAAACAGGCATTATACATTCATTGCCATGCTCATCGGCTTAATCTAGTCCTAGTAGATGTGGTTAAAAGTGTGCAAGTTGTGGATAAATTTTTTGCCTTGTTGGAAAAGCTTTATGTTTTTTTATCTGGCTCATTTGTCCATGAAAGATGGATTAACGTTCAGAAAAGTTTATATAAAGGAAAGCCACCAAGAGAATTACACAAGTTAAGTGACACACGATGGGCGTGTAGATATTATGCATGCAAAGTTGTAAAAAATCATTTAACTGCCATTATACAGCTCCTGCGTGAATTGTCAGATGGCCAAAATGCAAATCGTGCATTAGATGCGCGTTCTCTTTTGATTCACATCGATAGTCAGTTTATTGACATACTAGCGCTAATGTGTGATATTTTCGGTCGAACTCAGTCATTATCTATTATGTTGCAATCTACTCATATCGACTTGTTAAAAGCTTGTGATTTGATTGAGTCTGTACGGGAAGATTTCAGTGATATGAGAACAAATGAAAAGCAGTTTGAATTAATGTGGAAAAATGCAGTATCGTTGTTTAATGCTAACAAAGAATGTTTAGTACCTGCTAGAACTCCACAAAGATCACGGTGTCTTCCTCAAAGTTTAGAAGATACTATAATTCTAGAAACGATTGGAGAAAGATCACGAATTAATAACAAAAATACATTTAAACAGCAAGTTTTTTATCCAGTTTTGGATAAACTCATTGCCGAGTTTGACCGTCGTTTTGGCGAGCAGCAGCGTAGCGTCATGAAAAGCTTGCAAGCACTCAGTCCGTCGTCCAACAGTTTTGCAGATATAACTCTTGTTAAACCATTAGCGGTGATTTATAATGCAAATGTGGAAGACTTAGAGCATGAGCTGCATCAGGTAAAACGTCTAATCGGGCGCGCTCAGGATGATACAAAGCCAACAACATTACTAGGACTACTGATGTTTTTAAAACCATTCAAACAAGCGTTTCATGAGTTTTATCGATTATGTAAAATTGCCGTTTCGCTTCCTGTCAGTACAGCAGCATGTGAGAGGAGTTTTTCTGCATTGAGACAAATTAAAACATACATAAGAAACTCTATGCATTACAGTAGATTAAGCAGTGTATCAATTCTTGCAATTGAAAAAGAAAGAACATTATCATTGCATGAAACGGAAATTATTGATGTTTTTGCTACTAGTCATAAAAACAGAAAAATGACTTTATTATAATATTTTTTTCTAAATGTTTTTTAAAATTGGTTTTATTTGTAATAAGGTATGTATGTCTGTGTATGTATGTGTATATGAAGTTGGACTTATTAATGTGCATATGAGATATAATACATGTATTGTATATATATGAATACCTTTTAGTATTTTTTTTTAATTTTTTTTTGGATTAATGTGAAAAGGACAATGTTTTACTGATGCGGGCCCATAAACATCTTTTTGTTTTTGATAATAATAAATTGCAGACATTTTTTAAATAAAACATTAATACATTTAAATATGTGTCTATTCGAAAAGGTTTTTATTACAATTCTTCTAGTTCATTTCAATAAACTTGTATATGTAAAAACAAAGATATACCTAAATCATCATCATATCATCATCAACGTTTAGACTTTAGAGGCATTTATTTGTCCAAGCATGTTTGTCCAGGTATATGGCATTACATCCTGGGTATGCCTTGAAATGTGGGACTGGATAATGACAGGTTTATCCAAGCTCCTACCAATATGTGTGCTATGAATCACCAAAATCGGAACCGATAATTCGTCATTTAGATAATCAGATTTGAAAACAAATGAAACAGGCAATTAATATTGCACCAAAGGATGAGTGAAATAACATTAATTAAGTTATTCGCTGCACCTTAGTAGTGCTTAAGAAAGAAATAATACCTAAATAAACTTTAATTTTTAATAATTGCATTACATAAGAATATATATATATATATATATATATACATATATATATATATATATATATATATATATATATATATATATATATTAAATCTTTTTGAATATGTTTTAATTTGTTTGTTGTGTACTTTTAAACACAAAACACTCCAGCATGTCTGGCCCCCCCATGCCCTACCCCTTGCCCATCGCTTGCCCCCCCAAAACCAATTACCTAGATCCGCCCCTGAGCAACAGCAGCAGTAGCAGTAAAAGCAGCAGTAGCAGTAAAAGCAGCGACAACAGAAGCAGTAGCAGTAATAGCAGCGACAACAGCAGCAGCAGCAGCAGTAGTAGCTGTAAAAAATTTCCAAAAATTCGTTAGGATCCGGCCTGGTCATCAAAAATTCACTTTTTAAAAAAAAGTTGATGACCATTTTCAAATATTTTTGAAAACCCTGGCCTCCCCCTGTCAAATCGAACTAGATCCGCCTCTGGTTATAGCAGTAATAGAGGTAATAGTAATAATAATTATAATAAAAGTAATAAAAAAAATGATAATAATAAAAGTTACTAAACCACCTTTTTCCACCGGACTTTACTGCTGTTGTTACTCCTGGGCGGGGGGCATACTTCGGCATGGTCTGCTTTCATGTGGTTCTTTAGCGTCGCCTGTTTCTCGAAGCCGGCCTGGCAGTGCTGACACTTGTAGAACGAGGCCAGCATGTCCGGATGGCGCTTGGAGACGTGGAGTTTTAATTTGTCCACTCTAAGATTAGGTATCGACGATGGGTATAAATAACAATGATGGAAAAGAATAAAAATGTCAGTAATAATAATAATAATAAGAACATTCTTTTATTTTCTAACTCCAAATACCAAATATCAATAATGAAATATTCACAAAATCCTATTAATCTAAAATGCTCGTCACTGCAAGTGACGAGCATTTTAGATTAATAGGATTTTAAATGGACTGGTTTAATTGTTCAATTGGGGTTCAATCATTCTTATTATTTTGGCTTCATCAATCAAATTTTATGATAAACATAGACTTGCAATAAAGTTAATAAAAAGACAATAATATATTTTATACAGTAATTATAATTATAATAATAGACCTTGTAAATGTCTTGGGACAGCAATTACACTGACAAATGGTTTTCTTCTTATCGACATCATCAAGAGATTCAGGTTTATTATTATTACCATTATTATTACTACTATTATTATTGTTGTTATTATTATTGTAGTTGTTATTATTATTATTATTGCTGATGTTGTTCGGCGACCCAGTTATGTCTGATAGGTTGGCCGGGGGTAGCGAATCAACATGAGACCTCAAATGTAAGTCAAGATCGTTGTTGGATTCAAGGTGAATGCCACAAAGAGGGCATTTAATTGTGTTAGATTGTGACTCCTTTTGGAATCTGTTGGTATTTATGCTGATATTTGTGCTGCTGCTGTTGTTGCTGTCAATGTTGCACTTTGTTGGATGTTGTTGTTTTTTAGGAGTTTTCCTTGTGTTGCTCTGCTGTTGCTGCTGAGCGTTGTGGTTGTTGGTGTTAAAGAAGTTATTATCATTATTGTTGTTGTTGTTGTTATTAGAGAGGGTCATCTGCTTGTGTTGTTGCTGATGTTGTTGTAGATGGAGAGCAGACTGCAAACTGTAGTCTGTAATGTTGTTGTTGGAGTTAATGAAGTTGTTTTTGTTACCATTTTTAAGATTAGATTTGTCATAACCTTGGTTCATGTTATTATTCTGACAACTGTTGTCTTCAGGAGTTGAATGAGATTGATTATGATGAGAATAATTTGTCGGGGATGACTGAGTGTTCCAACTAGAACTAGGAAAATTAGGGTTGGGTGCATTTTGGAAAGGTCTGTGTGGAATGTATGAGTCTGCATCAGAAGATGAGGCATTATTGTTGTTGTTTTGAGTGTTATTGTCATTGTTGCTGTTGCGACCAGCAGAATCATTTTGAGAGTTTTTACTTGAATTAACTTTTAAGTTCTCCCCAACACTGCTACTATTATTACTACCATTGTTGGAATTAGACGTGGAAGACGACGATTTGATGGGAAGTTGCCCTGGGTGATAATAAAGATTAGGATGGTTAAAAAAGTTTGTATGCGCATTGCGCTGGTTTTGTTCGTTCTCCAGATGGCGCATATGATCTGAATGAAAATGTCCGGCCATCCCCGGCGGGTAATAGAACGGCGACGACATGCACTGTTTACTAGACCCAGGTCCAGAATTAGGAGCTGGAAAGTATTCGGCAGGATGACGACAGTTTCTGGGATCATTTTCGGCCAAAAAACGGCTATAGTTAAAATTTTGATAAAAATTAAAACTACTCGGATCAAGAAAGTTGTTGAACGGCTGAGGAAAACACTTCAAATCAACGCTCCCATCGGATCCTGCAAAAGAGGGCAACTGACAGTTTTTCATCTGTCTAATTCGCCCGTTAAAATACTCCATTTTAATCAAATTTTATTTCATTCAAGGACAACAATTACAAAACCGGCAGCGTTAGCCATCTTGTTGTTCTTACTACAATCTTGGCAATTAATTAATTAGCAAACAATCCAAGATGGCGAATTTTATTCTTTTTTGTTATTATTTTTTTAAAAATTAATCTTAATATGTAAATAACTTTTAATTTGAACACATTTAGATGTGAAATTTGTGAAACCAAATTAATCAAATTTTTATGATGCTGAAACAGAAATATGACAAATATAATATTCGCACTTTGCACTTGTTATTTCTTCTCAATTTTAATTCTCAAACGAAAGTTAATTTTGTTCACAAGTAAAATTATCAAAAACAATACTGAAATTGCTGAAAGTCCGCGTAAATGATTGAATTTAAACTTAAAACTACCTCAAAAAAATTTCATTTGAAAAATATTTGTTTGATAAGCACACATAACTGCTGAGTTTAACGTAACCAGGATGGCCGAGTGGTTAAGGCGTTGGACTTAAGATCCAATGGACATATGTCCGCGTGGGTTCGAACCCCACTTCTGGTAGTAAAATTTTTATTTTTTTTTTGAATTTTTTTCATCTCTTTGATTAAATTTCTTTTAAACATTCAACAACGCAACAATGATAAATTCTTATTATTGACCGAATTCGATTGCATCGAAGTCCCTTGTTATAACATGCATTGTATTGGGTGCTTTGTTTCACTGCAGCTGCTGCTACTACTACTGCTGCTACTACTACTGCTGCTACTACTGCTACTATTATTGCTAGTGCTGCTACTACTACTAGTGCTACTACTACTACTGCTGTTGCTACTACTGCTAGTGCTGCTATTACCGCTAGTGCTTCTACTACTACTGCTGCTACTACTACTGCTGCGGCTGCAGATGATGATGATAGTGAAAAACTTGGTGAAAGATGACGACGATGATGATGTCATTGAAAGAAATGTCATAGACCTCAATGCTATCAAGTATGTTATTAACAACAACATTAGCGACGGTTATAATAATGGTTGTACTTCTTTGCAGTAATTAAACGTACGTTTAAATAAGGTTCATTCCGAGCAATCTATCAGCAATTATAAATAGGGTAAAAACCATCTTCACGAAACTCCGCCCTAAATTCCTAACTGACCAATCACGCAGCATTTTATTCTTTCGAAGTTGTTATTATTATCTTTGATAATAATAATATATTAATAATTAATTCCGATATTAATTCTGAACGGCAAACAGCGTTTTTCGGATTTTTCAGTGGATTTGAAAGTTATTTTATTACGTAACGTTTGGCAAATGGTAATTGCGTTTACTGCCGTCTAGTCACTGAATATCATCATCGTCGTCGTCGTCATCGTTGGAAGAACGAGAACTTGACAGAAGTCGAGAGGCAGAAGTGTAAATTAGTGTGATTCAAATCAATCGAAATGTTAATAACAGTCAACTTCAACCTATGGTTAATATTGCTTGTTCACTTATAAATCTGAAAACATACAATAAAGATGAGACCAACCCAAGGTTATGTATACTTTCATTATTTTATAATCGTTATTCTTAATGATTTTTTCATCATGTTCGAAAGCGGTTGACATGTGATTCTTATATTATATTACTATATTATTTTGGTTACTATTGTTGTTGTTGCTGATTTTTTGTTCTTTGCGTTCTATTATTTTCTGGATCATGGAATTTTTATATCCATTATTAATGAGTTGTTTAAGTGATTCTATCTAGTTCTGTTCTTCTGCTTCCTATATCAGAAGAGTGCGTGTAGGCTCGGTTTACAAAAGCAGAGGTCGTGCTCTCCAGAAATGATTAACAATATTCGCCATTGCCATTGAGGTATAAACTTTTGTTTGTTGCTTAGGTATATATTGAGGTTTAAAATTAATTTTGCCCATTTTGTTCTAATACGTTTAGGAATGGTATTATCAGTTGATTTTTTCATTATAAACTTTAATTTTGATGAATTTAGTCGTTTTGAGAAGTTTATCTATTTGATCATCTTCATCGTATGAACGTATCGGCAGTATATATTAGGCTTTGACTCTGGTTCTTCTTTGAATAACATTTCTTCGATATGTCCAACACAGAGGTTTTCAGCTGCCTGACTAAGAGAAAGTAAGAAGGATCTCAATTTTTTTTCAATTCAACTAAACATCTTAATCATCCATGTAAGAGGATGTAATCTAACCCTAACCCTAACCCTGACTAAGAGAAAGTAAGAAGGATCTCAATTTTTTTTCAATTCAACTAAACATCTTAATCATCCATGTAAGAGGAAAAATAATAGTATTAAATATAGAAGTAAAAGAAGTTGAAGAAGAAGTAGTGGTAGTGGCAACAATAGCAGTGGCGTGGTTGTAGAAATAGCAGTTCTATAATTATTATTTCTTCAAGTAGTAATGGATTTTGCTGTGACAATAATTTTTCTATTCGTACT